GCTAGCACGGCACCAGCACCGCTGGCCACTAAGGACGAACCATAGGTCTGGTCGTAGTTGGACAGGCCGTCTCTCCAGTCGTCATAACCTGGACAAGTTGATGTGTCCAAGGGGCGTGATGAGTCGAGCCACACGAAGCTGTTCGGGTTACCGATCCAGTATGTAAGTCGCAGACTCGAGGGCAGTGATAGCTGGTTCCCTACAGCCGCGTAACGCTGCGTCATCTGGGCTCCAAGGGAGTGTCCCGCAATGACGATTTGATTGAGGTTGGGATACATGTCCCTATTGGCAAAGTATTTGATAATGGCATCCAATACGTCATAAGAAGACGTTGCTATCTGCAAGCGAGGATACTGGTTGTTTTCACCCGAAGCCCAGCCAGAAGCCTTCCAGACGAGAGCATTTGAGGTAGAGCCGTACCCGCCGGCGGGAGCACTACTATTCCATGGATAACCAATGTTCTTATCATCCCCGTTCGGAAAATAAGGAGCTATTATTTGTGTATTGGCGGTTGTCGGGCCAGAGCCGGATGGTACTCGTGAAAGAGCAGAGAGCATATTCGACATGTATGTTTGCGGGTCTCGGTTCAACCCGTGGATGACAACCACGGCTCGCTTAACATTGCTCGTGGTCAACCTATTGCCATGCCCATCTTGTGAAAAGTAATTGGTCAAGGTAAACTGACGGTTCTTCTTGTCTTCGGGTCGCCAATGTCAGCTAGTCTTCAAATAAAACAGCTCTCTGCTTCTACATACCAGTGGTTCTCCAGTAAGCTAGCTCCGAGCCTGGTACGGTTGGTAGCGTGTTAGGGATGACATCTCCCATGAATTGCTGACCGGAAGCCAGCCATGAGATTGCAAGCAACAGAAAGTGGAAATAAAGAGCCATGGTGAAAGTCGCCATAATAATCCTAGTCCCATGTCCCATCACTGCAGACCACTCAGTCCGAGACCAGTTTATATAGTACCAGGGCACATCTGATTGCCAGCAGTAAGGGTACAGCGAACTAGTTGCGTCTATCATGGTCTGGCCACGAGAAGGCTAAAGACTCCGGGGGAGGTTAGGGCCGTTCCAGATCCTGCATCCAAGGCCTAGGCCACTCGAAGCATCTCCCTTTCATATTTTCCCCTAATATCCCTCGACAAGCAGGATACCGATGTGGGATCTGACGTTGATGTGGTGGAGTTGTTCGTCATTATGGCGTATAGTTGCAGCTTCTTGTCGACATTGGTAACAACAGTCTTTGGTCATAGATCTCATTTGATATATAATCATTGTTGATTGAAATCGGGATCAGCATACTCGAAAACGTAGACAACCCGAATCTGTAAACGAAAACTAAACCCCATGGCCGCATGCCTCAAGGCAGGAAATCCACAGATCATTCTTGCTTGTTACTATTTCCGGTCCGTCCATCATGGTGCTAAGATATCGGTGGATTCATCGCCGGACAGCTAAGCGATCTCCGGAATGTGTCGAGGAGGTGACGCTACCGCTAAAGCCCTGTCTATCTAAACTAAGAACACAACATTCAAGCTAGGCCTGTCTACCATCGATTCCCCATGGCCATAGCTATAGTCGTGTCAACAACAGTGAAAAAGAGCAATTGAGTGACTCGCCACATACCACTTTAGAAAACTTCCTAAAAGTAGATCATGTAGATCTAGCGCCGTTTACTGAATAAGGTTCAATGCTACAAGATGCAGACTTGAAAGTAAAGTTTAAGCTTACACAGCCGAGACCGTCGGCCAAAGAACAAGATGTCTCTAGCTGTCAAAAAAAAAAAAAAAAAACCCCGGGCCATCCCATCCCGATAGATCCCATGCTTCCAGAGTCGTTTTACATCATCTAGCTTCCTATGGTGGCCACGTGGAATGTGATCGAGGAATGCAGCGCGTTAGACCCGTCGATTCTCACTCTGACTCGACAAGTTTCTGAGCACACCCCACTTTGCCCCACTCAAGGACAGAAAAGAAGAGGGAGAAAATATGCCTTAGAAACTAAGCATGACAGGCTGGTGTTTTTCCATGGTGTCCTTAGCAACATGACAATCGGGTCACGCAAATAGCTCATGGAATGGCTGACGGCCAGCATCATTAGTGACCTTCAACTTATCTAGATCAATTCCGGTGCCCGCCGTCAGGATTTTTGGCAAATAGAGTTTAACCGACGTCCTGGCGATGAGGCCATTCAGGATTTCTCGTACGTCGCCAGAAATTTATGGCACTTTCAAAGACAGAGAGAACACCCGGAGACATGCCCTAGCAACGTCAGATGTCTCTCCCAATCGGTTCCGCCAAACAGCAAATGGAGAAAGTTGACATCTCCTTAGTATGCCATCCAAGACCAGGATGGCACAGAGATTGGACAGTCAACCTTGAATATAACCTCGGGGAGTTCAAGCTGCGTTGGAGAAGGCCCCTATTTTGGTCACATCAAATATCCCGTAGCCTCCTTAGTCCCAAATAGCTTTCAACAGACAATTTCTTAGTCCTGGCATTGTGATAGGTTTGTCGTCTTACCTTACTGTAAGATAACAGAAAATAATAGCAGAATAGATTCTAGTACTAGAGAATCAGCTAACCTGTTAGGGTTTGCATTATAACACTAGGAAAATCGGGTTTTAGCCTGGAGCGTATCGCCCTCACCCAGACGAAGCCGCTCCTGTACTTCCTTATGTCCAATCGTTACTTTTGAACTTCTGTCTTAGGTGGATTTCGGTCTCTCTGTTCGTCTGCCGGTCTATCAGTCTATCCATATTCCATTTCATAGCGTAATATAATTTCATCCTGTCCAGAGGCTATATTATATCCGCTTTATTGTTACGAACTTTGTTACTCGGAGAAAAATGGTCTAGTATGCTTTCTCAATAGGTATTATTCTCCAGTCGTGGAGAAAGTACGATAGAAGGTTTGAATTGTGTAAATGTAATACACGCCGGTCTACACGAGAGTTATTAGAATTAAAAATGTCAAGCCTTGGATCAGCGCTGAGTCACTCACACAGAGTACCGCACAGTAAAGGCTCAACCATGCTGCATCTCTCTGAAGCCGTCCTCCAAGGTAGAGCTCACACTCTTTTACGAATAGTGGCATGTACACAACAATATGCATCTAAGCAAGGTGTTCCTTATGGAATTGTATCACGTTTCGTACCTTCCGCGAGTCTATGAGACTTTGGAGCTCTTCGAGTAAGGTTAAAATTTCTGGGGATGGCAGTAACTTTCTCTGTTCCAAATGCATTGTCCCCCATGCAAGAGACTCTAATGACATGGCCGCCTCGATTGCGAGATCACATTCGCTTGGCTCCATCAGTGGTGTAGCTCTGTTGTCCTCGTGATCTTGTGCAGTACTTGCTTCTTTCGATATTTCAGCATTGTTTCTAGACGATTCAATATCACAAATTTGCGGCGTATATCGCAAAGCATTACGACTAGGAAGTGGTTGTGCCTCTACAGCCATGATAGGACTGCTCCTAGAGATAGCGTGCATAATCGGGTGCAGAGGCTCCGTTTGTATTTGACGTCTAACGGAAGAGAATGGCGGGCGACTCCGCTGGCCTTGTTTACTGAGGATGACGGCTTCTCGATGACATTGAGCTTGTATGCGACGCTCAATACAATTCATGCATGGAATGGTCTTTGAGCAACCGAGCTTTCGACGGCTGCAGTAGACACATGACTGAGGAGCTTGCTGTGTGATCATTTTTTGCATCGATACCATCTTGGTAGTTGACAAGGCCCGTGAAGATGGAACGACTCGACAACTTGCGTGTGACGTGTGGTACACGGCTACTGGCATTCATTCTCATCGATAACATTGATAAATGAGATAGCTATCATGCTTATTAGGGTCAATGACGCTAGTAGTCCTACTTGTCATTTACTGTGGACAAGACGATAATTGTGCAGCGATAGTTTTCGGAAGTGCATGTATGATGATGGCAACATTGAGTCCTTCCGACAAGCATTCTTCAGCGCAGATCAATACACGCCTCATCACTAGATACGCAGCGCCGAGACACTAAACTAGTGAGGGAAGCTGAACCCGGCCGAGATTACGATACCAGACTGATAAGCAAACTCGGACGTATTTAGCAGGGCTTTGTCATTGCCTTGACATATGTGGAGATCGGCAAGTGCCCGAAGACTCTTATCGCACAAGATCTGGTGTAAGCTACGAAATATAAGCGTCATTTTCTTTTGAAGCATGTTGTGAGGAACTTGAAGATCATGAACGGGGAGTACAATGGGCACAATTAACTTAGGATAACATTTCGAACTCGCCCGTGATCGACACGGCGGGACGCGTCTGAGGGAGCCAGACTTCCTCATCAATAGACTTCAAGGCGGTCGGAGAGCCTTTACGATTCAACCAATGCAGCAGAGTACAGATCCCAGACCTAAGTCTTCCCCACAGTTGATTCGGTGGTCGGCTCACACCGTCATCTTTGTTTTCAGTGAGAGGTACAACTAGCTACCTGTTTACCAACTTTTTGAGGGTCATGGGTCATATGGCCTCGCCGAGTTCACTGGACCCGTGTTTGAATCATGAAGAAACCTGTCGTCTTACGGGGTAAAATTCCAACTACGCAACTTTCCAACCTATTACAGCTCGCGAATTTCAGCATTTCCTGACAGATTCTCAACGATTCAAATGCGTAGAAGTTGTTAGTGGGCGAAACGAAGTGCTCTTGGTTGACCTTTTGCTCCAGCAAGAACATGTCAAGATAATTCTCGGAATAGCCAGCCTTGATGGGTTATATAATCATCCTCTCATTGACGTGCGCCCTGAACTAGAAGCAACGCGAATGCGCAGGCTTGTTTTATTGATTGCACTAGACGTAGGAATTTCTTTAGGATCCTTCGGCGAAGGATTGTGGGCGATCCTGCTCCTCAATTAGATGTGGATTTCCGATCGTGCCATATAATGCTCCACATGACGTTCTGTGTCTTTTATTGCTTTGTCTTTCTCGTTCTTTTCAGGATTTTTGATCGCACCATGGCATCTCGTGACTTAGGAACAAGCTATTCTGAGCCTGAGTACGCCAAGTCTCAAGATAGGGCCAGGGCTCCCTTCTACCATCCCAATATTGATCATCGCCTGATTCCAGAGGTATTTGCTTTCTGTTTGTGCTATTAGACCTCCTTCGTTGACCATGTCCTACTCCAGACACAGGAGCTGCTAGAGCAGTACAGTCATGTGCCAAAAGAGCAGCAATCACAACACGTACATACAATTGTCAGTCATCGTTACGCAAACCGAATAACAAGAGACAACTCTAAGCTGACTCTTCATCGCAGCGCGATCAAGCCTGGGATATCCGTGCATACCCCTGCATTGGACTTGGCTCGTGGCTTACCCCTCAGCTATGTCGATTACCCATCTACGGTGACATCTTAAAACGCATTAAGGACGGCGGCGTACTTATGGATGTAGGCACTTTCGTTGGTCATGATCTCCGCCGACTGGTCTACGACGGTGCGCCATCGGACAAGCTCTACGGTGTTGACATCGTCAATCACTTCGACGTAGGTTACAACCTGTTCCGCGACCGTGACCGTTTCAAGGGCAAATTCATCAAGGCAGACTTGCTATCCACCACATCTCCCGATCTCATGGCGCTCAAAGGTCAGGTCGATATTGTCCTCGTCTCTCAAGTCCTACACCAATGGAACTGGGATGGGCAGCTCAAAGCAGCGCAGGCTCTGAGCACATTCACAAAACCAGGTTCGTGGATCGTGGGCAACCAGATCGGCAACCCCGAAGCACGAGAGATCTTTTTCGAAGCGGTTCAGCTGCCGTTGTATCGCCACAACACCGATAGTATCGGCCGGATGTTCGAAGCGGTTGGCGAAGCAACCGGGACCCGGTGGGAGACGCAGGCTTGGATGCGCACCTTTGAAGATATGGGCTGGGACGCAAAGGACGGGACATGGATGGAGCCTAATGTTGGAATAGTTGAGTTTGTGATTAGGCGACTGTCATAAAGCCTTGGGGTAAGCGAATGTATAGGAAACGGTAGAAGAAGCAAGCTTGGTCACATGGGAATTGCCTAGCTATTATTGCCAGGCAATCATAAAATAGACAGGGTGAATGTTGATATTAGCGTGAATTATATAATCGGCGGATGCTATATGGATACAGCCATCTCCTAGAGGAGCTAGTGATTTTCATCTTTATTTGAATATTGGAGGTCTATTATGTCCCAAGTATGTGTGTGTGCTAACTGCATGACTTTCCAGTAATTCAATGACATTTACAGTGTGTTCCGATTATATTGTGCAGGTTACCAAGCTTCAATCTCATTCGGACACGATAGAGTTAGTCAGAGGGCAATAGTGCTTGATGGTTGCTCGATAAAGCTTTACAAAGATCGGCTTATGTTACGAAGGTGTCCACTAGTATCTCTATTCTATTTAGTAGGCTTGATATTGAGTTAGGAGAGTATAGTCTTACCTCTGCCAGCAGTCAGATGACTTATTTGCTATTACTTACTTCATTTTTACTTGCTTTACTTAGCTATCATTATACAGAATATAAGAATGACTACCCTTTCATTCCATTACGTTCTTTA